TAGCCTCATGAACGAATCTCTCATGGAAGCCAGATGGCTTACAAAGAACCTCCGTCTTGGAAAAGTCAATGGCATGTGAGCCTACTGAATTAGAACAATGATCTGCTACGGCCGAGGTGTTGGTCCTACCGTGTTTAAGGTCTGCTTTATGTTCACGAATGCGGTCCGAGACATGGCGTTTGGTTTCTCCAATGTAACTACTACCACAGAGGCAACTTAGTTTGTAGACACCAGGGTATTGTATGTCCGGAATCACATCTTTTACAGACGGAACCAGATCACGGATTTTATGTAATGTGTTGAAACGGACCTGGATCTTGTGTTTATTCAAGATTTTGGAGATCTTTTTTGTGATCCCAGCAATGTAGGGTAAAGTGATGGTTTTGAAAGGCTCCTCAAGAGGGTTCTTCTTCATGGTTTGAGTGATAGCTTTGCGGATTGTATAGTCGGAGTAACCATTAGCCCTAAGAGCTTGGTGTACGTGCTTGAGTTCACTGTTTATGTGTTCCTGGTCGGATATGCATTGGGCTCTATGATACAGAGTCTTGATGAGAGAATTCTTCTGTGATAAATGGTGGTGGGAATCCGGTTTCAGATAAGCATCCGTATGGGTAGCTTTCCTGTAGACAGAGTGGCTCATTGAACCATCAGGTCTCTTTTTAATTAGGACATCCAAAAAAGGTATCTTGCCATCTATTTCGACTTCCATGGTAAATCTGATGGCTGGGTGTATGGAATTGATGTGGTCGAAGAATTGGTCTAGAGCAGGCCGGCCATGTGGCCAGATGACAAAAGTGTCATCCACGTACCTCTTCCATAAGGTTGGGCGCAGAGTGGCAGTCTGGATGGCGTCAGTCTCAAATTTCTCCATGAAAATGTTAGCTATAACTGGAGAAAGGGGGGAGCCCATTGGGGTGCCCTCAGTTTGTTTGTAGAAAGTTCCATTCCAAGTGAAGTATGTATTGGTTAAACAGTGTCTCACCAGGGGGGGTACCTCAGTGTTTAGTCCTTGATGAACCAAGTCTTCAATGCTTGCAATGGTGTCAGGTACAGGAACCTTGGTGAATAAGGAAACTACATCAAAACTGACAAGCAGGTCGTCTGGGGACAGGGAAATACCCTTGATTGTTGATACCAGGTGAGTAGAATTTTGTACCGCAGAGGTGGTCTTTCCAGTGAAAGGACGCAGGATTTCAGACAAAAAACGAGCTAGTTTGTAGGTGGGGGAGCTGATAGTAGAGACTATGGAACGAAGAGGTGTATCTACTTTATGTATTTTTGGTAAGCCGTATAATCTTGGTGGCCTGGCAGCAGAAGGTTTCAACGAAAACTGTTTAGATTGATCAATTAATGCGGTTGAATCAGAAATTATTTTGTTGGTTTGTGTGACGAGGCTGTTGGTGGGATCTCTTTTTATTTTTGTATAACTACCATCGTCGAGTAATTCTTTAATTTTGTTGTTGTATTCTATTTTATCCATGATGACAGTAGCATTGCCTTTGTCAGCTGAGAGAACTACAATATCATTCCTCTTTTTTAATTTATATAATTCAAAACGCTCATCTTTGCTGAGGTTGCTAGCTGGCATCTTAGCGTTTTTGAGGGTTGCAGCGATTTCAGATCTTGCTACGTCTGCAGCGATGTGACCCAGGCCCCTGAGAGCAACGTCTACTTGGGCAATTATATCATTAACTGGTATGTGTTTAGGTGTGACTGCAAAGTTTAGACCTTTAGCTAAAACGGATTTCAGACCATCGGAAATAGAACTGTTACTGCGATTAATTACGACTTTATTAACGTCTAACTTTTTGGTGTGTGGGTCCGGTCTTTTGTTGAAGAGGAGGTTAAATTTGGAAATCAGGTTTTCCTTACATTTGGTCGACATAGTAGCAGCTGAAGAGGCAGTCATATTGTCTACATGTTCCCAATCCGATGTGGACATTATTGCCGTCAATGATAAGTGTGATTTGTAGAGTGTCTTGTCTAACTGATCTAGTTCTGTGCGTATAAGTCTGATTTTTTCTGAGATAAGAGCTAAGCTAGTTTTGAAAAGAATTCGTTTCGCATTAGAAGAAGTTACAGCAGCAGAGGTCAGTGTAAATGCGATTGGTATTACCCCAGAGTCACGGCATCTCTTCAGGAAGGTGAGAGACTCGATCAGCTGAGCTTTCTTATCCCGGAGTTTGTTGAAGGATCTTAAAGTTATGTGAAAACCCTCCCCGTAGAGGCGATTAAATTTTGATTTAAAGCTTTCGTGACTGCAGTAATTCATATTCTTAGTTTTTTCGGTAAAGTCACGTTGAAGAGAAACAACAAAATAACAAAATATATATAAAACAATAAAAAATTCTCACGACGTTTCGACCATAACTCAAACGGTCATCATCAGGTGTGTTGGTTTGCGTAAATTTATTTTTAAAACGGCACATTTATTTATTTCAAAACCATCACTTTACCCTACATTGCTGGGATCACAAAAAAGATCTCCAAAATCTTGAATAAACACAAGATCCAGGTCCGTTTCAACACATTACATAAAATCCGTGATCTGGTTCCGTCTGTAAAAGATGTGATTCCGGACATACAATACCCTGGTGTCTACAAACTAAGTTGCCTCTGTGGTAGTAGTTACATTGGAGAAACCAAACGCCATATCTCGGACCGCATTCGTGAACATAAAGCAGACCTTAAACACGGTAGGACCAACACCTCGGCCGTAGCAGATCATTGTTCTAATTCAGTAGGCTCACATGCCATTGACTTTTCCAAGACGGAGGTTCTTTGTAAGCCATCTGGCTTCCATGAGAGATTCGTTCATGAGGCTATCCACATATACAAGCACAGAGACAATTTCAACCGAGAAGATGGATTCTATCTTAGCAATCATTGGAAAGATTTGATAAATCATTTCAGTTCTTGATTGATTGTTCACGCTTACAGTGGCTTTCAGACAGCATACATTATAAAAAATTTCGTCTCCCCCCTCCTCTTTTCAAAAAAATAGATGGACTAGTCCTGGGCAAACTGCCAATCGCTGCTCGTGACGCCAACGTTTTTTTAAATAAATAAATAAATGTGCCGTTTTAAAAATAAATTTATGCAAACCAACACACCTGATGATGACCGTTTGAGTTATGGTCGAAACGTCGTGAGAATGTTTTATTGTTTTATATATATTTTGTTATTTTGTTGTTTCTCTTCAACGTGACTTTACCGAAAAAACTAAGAATATGAATTACTGCAGTCACGAAAGCTTTAAATCAAAAATATAGAATTGTTATAACAACACTCCGACAACATCAGAGTGTAGCGCCACATTAAATACTCGCTACAATGACAATAGTTTAAAGCTATTTGAAGCATGTTTTATTTTCAAAATATAAATATGGTTTTGGGGGGGGGGAGGCAGAGCTTTGTGACGTCATATTTGAGGGGGGGGGGGGAGTCTGACTTTTTGTTACGCCGTGTGACGAGGGGTTGGTCAAAAATCGTCCAAAATCGCGTGACGTCATTTATGGACGGCCCCATAGCCCGCGGGAGGAGGCGGGGTGGTGGGGGTGGGGGGTTTCCCCGCAGCTTGAAACAATTGTCTCCGTCGAAGCGCAGAGCGGCGAGGCGGCTGGAGCGATTTCGGGAAGCTGAACTGCAGGCAACGTGGGACAACGCGAGATGTTAACTCTCTCGCCTGGTGCACAGGAGGTCGTCCGTTCAAATCGACCGAAACCTGACGCCTGCGTGTGACTCTTCCCCGTGGTCGCGTGGATTTTTCTCCGGGTCGTCCGGTTTTTTTTGTCCCCTACCGCATTTAGGATCAACGTCACCCGCTCGTTTCGAGTTTTTGGTCCGCTAAATATTTCCACGCGATGGTGAGCCCGCTTCTTCGGGGCTATCGTTTTGTGGCCAGGTCGCTTCGCTACATAGGCCCAGTGGGCCTTAGGGGCCATCCGTTTAGTGCGTACGCATGGAGGGGGGGTTAACCCAAATGCGTACGCTTGCGTATGGGGGGAGGGGGTCTACTGACAATGTGCGTACGCATAGGAAACGGGGGGGGGTGGGGGTGGGGGGGAGGGGGGTTGGGTGAAGCCTCGATAATAATTTGTCTACATTGGCCTTCAAATGAGTTAGATAGTCCGGCGGTGGACTATTCTGTTTGCTTAAGCACTTTAATAGTATTAATCCATGGTCATTTCTGCGCGGAATAAATATCGGCCGTTCTATAGGATTCGGGGGGGGGGGGGGGTGCGTCAGGCTGTACGTATCCAGGTAGGGGGGGGGGTTTAAAAGGTACGCGTTCCCTTTAGGGCACAGCGCCACGAACCCAGCGACCCCACCACCACCACAACCACCACCCCCCCCCCCCCCCAAGCGAATTCGATGTCCGCTCCACGGCCACAACCAACACCGGTGACGATTCTCTGCACCGCTCCTGGGCCTCCCGTCAGTTCGATTCGGCCTCAAATAGGAGCGCCTGGTGGTGTGTGGGTGGGTGGGAGGGAGGGAGACAAAGGCGGCCGGGCGCGGTGCTGGCCAGCCCAACACACCTCTTGTACCATGTCGACCTTCAATAGGTGCTGTTCGCTAGACGCATTACCATGCCATACTCTTTGGTTCTTTCGGTAAAGTCACGTAGGTATAAAATATGAAATGAATTAAATCACGACGTTTCGATTGCAACACAAGCAATCATCATCAGGTGTGAAAGCCACAGCAAGAAAAATTTTCAGCTCAAAATAAAAAAAAATATCTTGCTGTAGTTTTCACACCGGATGATGATTGCTTTTGTTGCAATCGAAACGTCGTGATTAAATTTATTTCATATTTTATACCTACGTGACTTTACCGAAAGAACCAAAGAGTATGCAGTCAGGAAAACTTCAAATCTAGAATTAACATTACCAACCCCCCCCCCCAAAAAACACAATCCGTTCTGGCTATCCGGGTGTGTGTGTGTGTGTGTATGGGTTAGTGAGTGGGGGGGGGGATGTGGGGATTTTCTGTCTTGGTGTTTGTGTGGACATAGTTGGTGGTGTTGGGGAGGTATTATAACGAGAGATAGCCGCTACACCCCCACCCCCATCTCTCTCTCTCTGTGGACGGGAGGTCAGCAGACCGTGACAATGCGTGGAAGGAAGAGAAGGAGCGTTTTCAATTCGTCACCAGCCCTTGTCACAGCCTATCTGCCGAGCGGTCCGCTGCGAATTCCATCCGCTGGACATCGACAGCTCGGCAAAGCCGGGGGGGGGGGGGGGGGGGCCTTATCCGGAGGACGCCTTCTCTGGCTCTCTCTCTCTGCTCCCCTCTCTCTCTCTTTGAGCATCACGAATCTCAAACTCAACGCGATTGTCAGCCGAAGCGATAGGCGCGCGCCATCGTGAATGTCCGCAGGGTTTCCGCGGCTGTCGTCGAGAACGCTCGAGGGCCATCGTCATCATCATCACCAGCACCACCACCACCATTACCACCGTCGTCTTCCTCGTATTGGGCAGCATCAGCATGCCAGCGCTGATCCTGCTGTGTCTGCTACTGGCCGCGGTCAACGTGTTCGCAGGTGAGTGGCAGAAACCGAGGGGGGATTTGCTCAGTTCCACAAAGAAAGGAAATTACTTTGGAATGTTTCTCGGGGCGTGCGCGTGCGTGGCTGAATTCATTAATTAACATTTCATTAAGCGGCTTGTTTTTAATTGTTGTCGTGGCGGTGGTGGCGAGCGGTGGTGCAGTTGGTTAGCGCTGCGCTGCGCTACGAACCCGGCGACCCGAGTTCGATTCCCGCTCACGGCCAACAACAACAATTGTGACCGATTATATCTGAACAGGTCCTGGTCCACCCCTAGGTCGACTCGGCATCAAAATGAGAACCTTATTGCGGTGTGTGGTAAACATCCCCGCTTGGGAGACAAAGGCGGCCGGGCGTGTTGCTGGCCACCCACCCCCTCGTGTACCGTTCCGGCCTTCATACGTGCTCGCTAACAGCACTTGCCCCAACAGTCTGTTACAATCTTGATTTGAAGCTTTCGTGACTGCAGAAATCCATACTCTTCGGTTCTTTCGTGCGTAGAAAGAAAAAATTATCACGACGTTTCGATCGCAACCCAAGCGGTCGCACTCACCAGGCAGAAAAAATAGTCCATCAGTGGAATTGCTGAACCAGCCTGCTACAGGCTACACGTGGGATCCGTGTCGCCTTCGGTGACGGTGAGGGTGGAGGTGCAAGATTCATTTCAACTGCCTGAGCGTACACCTGACGTTACCAGGTAGCCGACTGATGGCTTTAAATGCTAAACGCGCGCGTGTGTGTGTGTGCTTGTTAAACAACGTGTCCTGTTCGTCGACGCCGTTCAAGTCCATGTCCAAGGTTTGTTTGTCCGTGTGTGTGCGTATGGTGGTGTCCGTTTCAAGCACTCTGTGTGTGTGTGTGTCTGTGTGTCGATTGTGTCGTGTTAATCGCAGTGTCTGTCAATGGTGCTGGTCTGTGAGTGTGCGTGCGTTGAATTTCTTTTTGCGCCGTACGTCGCCAATTTGTGCCGATGGGTGGTGTAAAGTGTGCCTGCCTGTCTGCGTGTACGCCTGCGTGTGAGTGTCCATGTGGGTCCAAGACTGACGCAGGAGGATTTCCCCATAGCTTCTGGCCGTCGCCTGATGACGCTGGTTGTTGTTGTTCTAATTACCGGCAAAACGTCACAGTAATCTGATTGTAAATGTTGTGGTGGGTTTTACTCTCCAACACACAACAGGTGTAGTACTGTACTAGTAAACTACACTGAACACTACAGTATACACTACACTATACACTACACTATACACTACTATACACTATACTATACACTACACTACTATACACTACACTATAATTGTAAATGTTGTAGTGGGTTTTACTCTCCAACACACAACCGGCGTAGTGATGTACTAGTAAACTACACTGAACACTTCACTATACACTACTATACACTATACTATACACTACTATAGACTACACTACTATACACTACACTATAATTGTAAATATTGTAGTGGGTTTTACTCTCAAACACACACAACCGGTGTGGTGCTGAACCAGTAACGAATTGGCCACGTTTTATTTACGTGACAAACCCATTACTAATTGGCTGTGTCGGGTGGTGGCGATTTAACCTAAAAAAGCCCTCTTATGGATGATAGTGGTCGCGAAAGCCTCCTCCTGCCTCGTGTTAAACCCAACTCCGTGTGCCTGTTTACGCGTGTCTATGCACGGTCTGCGTGTGTGTGTCTTAGTAATGCATGCGTCTATGTGTCTACACACACATCCATGTGTGTGCGCGTGTCTTTGGGCTACGTGTCCGTGAGTGCTGCGTGCCTCCGTTGCGTCTCGGCGTTGCTTGCGTGCGTCTGTCAATTTGCGTGCGTGTGTCCGGGAGGTGGGGAGTGGTGGTGCAGCGGTTAGCGCTACGCTGCGCTACAAACCTGGCGACCCGGGTTCGATTCCCACTCACGGCCAACAGAAGTGACGATTATCTGAACCGGTCCCGGGCCTCCCCTAGGTCGACTCAGCCTCAAACGAGTACCTGGTGCGATGTGTAAACATCGCCACTAGGGAGACAAAGGCGGCCGGGCGTGGTGTTGGCCACCCACCCCCTCGTGTGCCGTGCCGGCCTCTATAGGTGCTCGCTAACAGCACTTGCCCCTACAGTCTGCTAAGGCTACACGGGGAATCTTTGTCTTTGTGTGTCCGAGTGTACTCCCGTGTATTCTCGTGCGCGCGCGCGTGCGCTCGTGTGGTATTTGTGTCCTAGGCGTGTGCCTGTGGAGTTGATGGGGAGGGGCGGTAGTGTAGCAGCGGTTTAGGGAGCTGCGTTACGAACTCGGCCCCCACCCCCCTCCAGCTCACGGCCACCAACATCAGTGACGAGTGCCTGAATCGGAGCTCCCCCATAAGTTGACTCCGGCCTCAAGTGAGTACCTGGTGCGGTGTGCGGTCAACGCCGCCTGCGCTCGGGAGATAAGGGCGCACGGGCGTGGTGGAGGGCTGAACGATTAATCGATTTTAAATCGATTCCAAATCGATTAATCGCAATTTGAAACAATGCGATTAGAGAATCGCGAAGGCTGGCATTTTTTTTTGCGATTTGAAAAGTTCCTCTTACTTTCTTATTGGAATTGTTTTATTTTGTCATTATTACAGCTTTATTTATTTAACTTAACAATTGTTCTATGTCTGATCGCTCTATTTCAATCAAAACATTTTAATAAATACATGTTGGAAGCAATTCATATCTTTTAAGTTCTCATCCGTTGCATTAGAAGGTATAGAGCTGTCTTTGCAGACGGACGCTTGTGTTCCGACCCAAACGTCGCGTTTCTTTTATTATATTTTTTTCTATCTACGTGACTTTACCGAAAGAATCAGAAAGTATAATACATAGAGCAGTTCACATATTGATGGTATCACGTGGTAATGCTCCGTCACATGTTTTGCATCTATTACACAGTGAATATCGAACTGAAGCTTTACTTAACATTTTTTTTTAAATCGCAAATCGAAATCGCAATATCTGTCAGAAAAAATCGCAATTAGACGTTTTCCCCAAATCGTTCAGCCAGGGCGTGGTGTTGGGCGGCCACCCATCCCCTCGTGTGCCACCGTGCCAGCTTTCATAGGGTGCTGCTACTCGCTAACAGCACTTGCCCCAACAGTCTGTTCAAAGTCTATCCGGGTGATCTTTGTCTTTGTGCCCCCCCCCCCCCCCCCGTGTTAGTATTGTGTCCATCCGCGTGCGCACTTCAGTGTTTAAGTGTCCGTCTAGTGTGCGTCAGTGTGTGTGTCTGTCTGGGGGAGCGGTGGTGCAGCGGTTAGCGCCACGCTGCGCTACGAACCTGGCGACCCGGGTTCGATTCCCGCTCACGGCCACCACCAGTGGCGATCGTCTGAATCGGTCCCGGGCCACCTCTAGGTCGACTCAGGCTCAAATGAGTACCTGGTGCGACGTGTAAACATCGCCGCTAGGGAGACAAAGGCGGCCGGGCGTTTTGCTGGCCAACCCCCACCCCCTCGTGTGCCGTGCCGGCCTTTATAGGTGCTCGCTAACAGCACTTGCCCCAACAGTCTGTTAAGGCTACACGGGGGATCTTTGCTTTGTCTGTCTGGGTGAGCGTCTTCGCGTCTCCGTTCTTACTCTGTATACGTCTATTAATGTTTGTGTCTGCATGTCACTGCTTATTAGCGGTATGGATATGCGGGTTTGTCCGTGTCTATGAATCCCTCGCTGTTGCGAATGTCTCCGTCTCTGTCCGTGGGGTATTGTGTCTGCGCGCGTGCGTCCTGGTGTCTCAACCTCATTGGAGAGATCTGCGTTTCTGTTTGCGACTGTGCATATATATTTGGTTGGTTCTGCTGGTGTCGTGTGTCGTGTGAAGAAACATGAGCTTCGTTAGCTCATTGGATTCCTCCAGTACAAATCAATATTCTGGATCTGTGCCTTTGCGTGCGTGCGTGTCTCAAGTGTTTGGACACGGTCTAGGGCACACATTGTCTGTGCACGCCTGCCTTAGAAGTGTGGCAAATAGCGCACTGCGCTCCGTACCTGGCGAGCACAAGTTCGATTCCAGCCCACGGCCATCGATCGCCGTGGCGATAATCTGAACCGCTCCTGGGCCCCACCTCTCTCCCGAGATCACCGGGTGCTCAACCTTCAATGAGTACCTGGCGCGATGTGCAAACGTCAGCACTGGGGAGACAAAGGCGGCCGGGCGTGGTGCTGGTGACCACCCAGCCCTCGATAGGGCGACACGGTGGCTAGGCGATGTCAACTACCTCGCCTGGTGGACAGGAGGGTCGTGGGTTCGATCACCGACCCTGACGCCTGCTGCTGCTGTATATTTGGAGTTTGCGTCTCTCGTCATCATCACGGTGACTAGGAGATGTTAACTACCTCGCCTGGTAAGCAGGAGGTCGTGGGTTCGATCACCGACCCTGACGCCAGCTGCTGTATATATGGAGTTTGCGTCTCTCATCATCATCACGCTGGAGAGATGTTAACTACCTCGCCTGGTACGCAGGAGGTCGTGGGTTCGATCCCGACCCTGACGCCTGCTGCTGTATATTTGGAGTTTGCGTGTTTCTCTCTCCACGCGGTGGCGTGGATTTTTTTCCGGATCCTCCGGTTTTCCCCCTCCACATCTGGCGATAATCTGAATCACGTGGTTGATCATAAGCCACTTCGTTGAGGCTAGAATTTGTCGCTAGAGCTGGCGTAGCACAGTGGGCCTTAACCTGCGAAAACATAAATTTAGATTTAAAGCTTTCGTGACTGCAGGGATTCATATTCTTGGTTCTTTCGGTAAAGTCACGTAGAAGGGAAACAATAAAATAATAAAAATATAAAACAATAAAATTCTCACGACGTTTCGACTGCAACACAAGCAATCATCATCAGGTGTGAAAACCACAGCAAGAAAATTAGAAAAAAGTGGCGGTTATTTTTAACGGTAGCACCACGGAGAGCGATTTGACAGTTTGTTCAGATGGACGAGTCCATCTATGTTCGGAACATAGATGGACTCGTCGAACATAGATGGACTCATATTCTTGGTTCTTTCGGTAAAGTCACGTAGAAGGGAAACAATAAAATAATAAAAATATAAAACAATAAAATGCTCACTAATTTTATTGTTGTACATTTTTATTATTAAAATTCTCACTAATTTTATTGTTTTATATTTTTATTATTTCATTGTTTCCCTTCTACGTGACTTTACCGAAAGAATCAAGAATATGAATCCCTGCAGTCACGAAAGCTTTAAATAAAAAAATAGATGAACTCGTCCATCTGAACAAACTGTCAAATCTCCATGGTGCTCACGTTAAAAATTAACGCCACTTTTTTCAAATTTTCTTGCTGTGGGTTTCACACCTGATGATGATTGCTTGTGTTGCAGTCGAAACGTCGTGATAATTTTATTGTTTCATTTTTATTTATTTTATTGTTTCCCTTCTCTGCTAAAACATAGTTTTTTTTAAAAATTTCGTTTTATAGTTTAATTTGTTAGTTTAATAGGCGCGCCGTGCCGGCCTTCATGAGTGATGCTCTATTGAAGGCTATAAGGGAGATTTCTAGATTTGAAGCTTTCGTGACTGCAGGAATCCATACTCTTTGGTTCTTTCGGTAAAGTCACGTAGGTAGTGTAGAAAATAAACTCAATCACGACGTTTCGATTGCAACACAAGTAATCACCTGATGATGATGATTGCTTTTGTTGCAATCGAAACGTCGTGATTTATTTTATACCTACGTGACTTTACCGAAAGAACCAAAGAGTATACGGGAAATCTTTGATCGTGTGCACGGGCCCAACTCACCACGGCGTGTACGCAACTCCGTATCCGTGTGGCTGCATCACGTACCGTTGGGGGTCCGAATGAGGCGTTGTCAAATCTGAAACGGATGAAAACGTCGAACAATTATGTTTTGTGTTGTGTTCACTCAAATTGTAAATGTTGTGGATTTACTCTCCAACACACTGAAGTAGTACACTATATACTACACTATACACTACACTATAAACTACACTATAAACTACACTATACACTACACTACACACTACACTACACAATGCACTATACACTACACTATGCACTACACTACACAATACACTACACTATACACTACACTATACTAGTAACTAATTGGCGCTTTGTTTACGTGACAAATCCCTTACTAATTGGCTGTGTCGGGTGGTGGAGGGTTTCGACACAACATTTATAATTACACGATCTAACCCAAGAACATTTATTATGAATAATATTGGTCGCGAAAGCCTACTGGTTCGTGTTGCACCTATGAAGGCCGGCACGGCACACGAGGGAGTTGGTGACCAACATCACGCCCGACCGCCTTTGTCTCCCCAGCGACGATGCGTTTACGCACCGCACCAGGTACTCCATTTGAGGCCGAGTCGACCTAGGGGATGCCCATGACAGTTTTATGATAATCGTCACCGGTGTTGGTGGCCGTGAGCGCGGGAATCGAACTCGGGTCGCAGCGTTCGTGGAGCAGCGTAGCGTGGACCGCTACGCTGCCGCTCCCCACATCAGCATATCAGCACATAACCACCACCACCACCTACAGTGTCACGTCCCACCACCCCCCGCTAGCACCACCACCACCTGTACCCAGCAACAACTGCCGATGTCAAGACCCGTGCCAGATGCGCGCATCTCACCTGCGACCCGTGCTGCCCTAGACCCGTGCCAGATGCGCGCATCTCACCTGCGACCCGTGCCGCTATAGACCCTTTCCAGATGCTCACATCTCACCTGTGCCCCGTGCTGCTAGAGACCCGTTCCAGATGAGCGCATCTCGCCTGCGACCCGTGCTGCTCTAGACCCGTTCCAGATGCCCACATCTCACCTGTACCCCGTGCCGCTATAGACCCGTTCCAGTTTCCTGCATCTCACCTGTGACCCGTGCTGCCCTAGACCCGTGCCAGAGGCACGCATCTCACCTGCGACCCGTGCTGCTATAGACCCGTTCGAGATGAGCGCATCTCACCTGTGCCCCGTGCCGCTCCAGACCCGTTCCAGATGAGCGCATCTCACCTGCGACCCGTGCTGCTCTAGACACGTTCCAGTTTCCTGCATCTCACCTGCGACCCGTGCTGCTCTAGACCCGTTCCAGTTTCCTGCATCTCACCTGCGACCCGTGCTGCTCCAGACCCGTTCCAGATGCGCAACGCCAAGAGCCCCGACTGCCTGTCCACGGTCGCGGGCTCCCCGCGTCTCTGGATGGCGAAGTGCGACGAGCGGCTGCCCGGGCAGCGGTGGCTGTGGCTGCCTGGGGGTCGCCTCCGCAGCCACGCCGAGGGCTCCTGCCTGGGGTACAGCGGCTCCCGCTTCCACCTGGGCCAGCCGGCCAGCCTGGTGAGCCTACGGATATCACTGCTATAGACTGTGGACTACAATATAGACTACACTATAGACTATACTATAGACTACACTATAGACTACATTATAGACTACACTATAGACTACACTATAGACTATAGATTACACTATAGACTACACTATACACTACACTATAGGCTAGACTATAGACTACACTACACTATAGACTACACTATAGACTACACTATAGACTATAGACTACACTATAGACTACACTATAGACTACACTACACTATAGATTGCACTATAAACTACACTATAGACTACACCACACTATAGACTACACTATACACTACACTATAGACTACACTATACACTACACTACACAATACACTATACACTACACTATAGACCGCACTATACACTACACTATGGACTACACTATACACTACACTATAGACTACACTATACACTACACTACACAATACACTATACACTACACTATAGACTGCACTATACACTACACTATGGACTACACTACACTATAGACTACACTATACACTACACTATAGACTACACTATACATGAGACTACACTATAGACTACATTACACTATAGACTACACTATAGACTACACTATACACTACACTATACACTACACTATACACTACACTATACACTACACTACAGACTATAGACTACACTATACACTACACTATACACTACACTATAGACTACACTATAGACTACACTACACTATAGACTACACTACACTACACTATACACTACACTATAGATTAAACTATAGACTACACTACACACTACACTATACACTACACTATAGACTACACTATACACTACACTATACACTACACTATAGACTACACTATAGACTACACTACACTATAGCACTATAGACTACACTATGGCCTCCACGGCACGTCGTGCTCCGCCCATTGCCCCCCCCCCCCCGCCCCACAAGGTGAGCTGCCGGCACGCCCCCGGATGGTCGTGCGTGACGCGCGACCGTGATGCGGACCTCCTAGCGGTGCGCGACCGCTCGCTGCTGCTCAGCAAGCAAGGCACGTGGGTCGTGGTGCGGCACTTCGAGCGCAAGTACCCGAGCTCGTGGCGGCGAGCAGAGCCAGGGAGAAGCCTCGCCTCGCTCTGTGCAGGTGAGACGCGTTTCGGAAGGGCGGGGAGCGCACAGCAGTGGCGTCATTCTTCACGTTCTGCAGATGTAGATGCCACTGATTCTTCATGTTCTGTAGATGTAGATGTCACTGGTTCTTCACGTTCTGCAGATGTAGATGCCACTAGTTCTTCATGTTCTGCAGATGTAGATGCCACTGGCTCTTCACGTTCTACAGATGTAGATACCACTGGTTCTTGACGTTCTGGAGATGTAGATGCCACTGGTTCTTCACGTTCTGGAGATGTAGATGCCTCTGGTTCTTCATGTTCTGTAGATGTAGATGCCACTGGTTCTTCATGGTCTGCAGATGTAGATGCCACTGGTTCTTCACGTTCTGTAGATGTAGATGCCACTGGTTCTTCACGTTCTACAGATGTAGATTCCACTGGTTCTTCACGTTCTGCAGATGCAGATGCCACTGGTTCTTCACGTTGTGCAGATGTAGATTCCACTGGTTCTTCACGTTCTGTAGATGTAGATGCCACTGGTTCTTCATGTTCTGCAGATGTAGATGCCACTGGTTCTTCACGTTCTACAGATGTAGATACCACTGGTTCTTGACGTTCTGGAGATGTAGATGCCACTGGTTCTTCACGTTCTGGAGATGTAGATGCCTCTGGTTCTTCATGTTCTGTAGATGTAGATGCCACTGGTTCTTCATGTTCTGCAGATGTAGATGCCACTGGTTCTTCACGTTTTGTAGATGTAGATGCCACTGGTTCTTCACGTTCTACAGATGTAGATTCCACTGGTTCTTCACGTTCTGCAGATGTAGATGCCACTGGTTCTTCACGTTGTGCAGATGTAGATTCCACTGGTTCTTCACGTTCTGCAGATGCAGATACCACTGGTTCTTCACGTTCTGGAGATGCAGATGCCACTGGTTCTTCATGTTCTGTAGATGTAGATGCCACTGGTTCTTCACGTTCTACAGATGTAGATTCCACTGGTTATTCACGTTCTGCAGATGTAGATGCCACTGGTTCTTCACGTTCTGTCGATGTAGATGCCACTGGTTCTTCATGTTCTGGAGATGCAGATGCCACTGGTTCTTCACGTTTTGCAGATGTAGATGCCACTGGTTCTTCATGTTCTGTAGATGTAGCTGCCACTGGTTCTTCATGTTCTGTAGATGTAGATGCCACTGGTTTTTCATGTTCTGCAGATGTAGATGCCACTGGTTCTTCATTTTCTGTAGATGTAGATGCCACTGGTTCTTCATGTTCTGTAGATGTAGATGCCACTGGTTCCTCACGTTCTGTCGATGTAGATGCCACTGGTTCTTCATGTTCTGGAGATGCAGATGCCACTGGTTCTTCACGTTCTGCAGATGTAGATGCCACTGGTTCTTCATGTTCTGTAGATGTAGATGCCACTGGTTCTTCATGTTCTGGAGATGCAGATGCCACTGGTTCTTCATGTTCTGGAGATGCAGATGCCACTGGTTCTTCATGTTCTGGAGATGCAGATGCCACTTGTTCTTCATGTTCTGGAGATGCAGATGCCACTGGTTCTTCACGTTCTCCAGATGTAGATGCCACTGGTTCGTCATGTTCTGTAGATGTAGATCCCACTGGTTCTTCACGTTCTGCAGATGTAGATGCCACTGGTTCTTCATGTTCTGTAGATGTAGATGCCACTGGTTCTTCATGTTCTGGAGATGCAGATGCCACTGGTTCTTCATGTTCTGGAGATGCAGATGCCACTGGTTCTTCATGTTCTCGAGATGCAGATGCCACTGGTTCTTCACGTTCTACAGATGTAGATGCCACTGGTTTTTCATGTTCTGTAGATGTAGATGCCACTAGTTCTTCATGTTCTGCAGATGTAGATGCCACTGGTTCTTCATGTTCTGGAGATGCAGATGCCACTGGTTCTTCATGTTCTACAGATGTCGATGCCACTGGTTCATCATGTTCTACAGATGTAGATGCCACTGATTCTTCATGTTCTGCAGATGTAGATGCCACTGGTTCTTCATGTTCTGTAGATGTAGATGCCACTGGGTCTTCATGTTCTGGAGATGCAGATGCCACTGGTTCTTCATGTTCTGGAGATGCAGATGCCACTGGTTCTTCATGTTCTACAGATGTCGATGCCACTGGTTCTTCATGTTCTGGAGATGCAGATGCCACTGGTTCTTCACGTTCTGCAGATGTAGATGCCACTGGTTCTTCATGTTCTGGAGATGCAGATGCCACTGGTTCTTCATGTTCTAGAGATGTCGATGCCACTGGTTCATCATTTTCTACAGATGTAGATGCCACTGATTCTTCATGTTCTGCAGATGTAGATGCCACTGGTTCTTCATGTTCTGTAGATGTAGATGCCACTGGGTTTTCATGTTCTGGAGATGCAGATGCCACTGGTTCTTCATGTTCTCGAGATGCAGATGCCACTGGTTCTTCATGTTCTGGAGATGCAGATGCCACTGGTTCTTCACGTTCTGCAGATGTAAATGCCACTGGTTCTTCATGTTCTGTAGATGTAGATGCCACTGGGTCTTCATGTTCTGGAGATGCAGATGCCACTGGTTCTTCACGTTCTGCAGATGTAAATGCCACTGGTTCTTCATGTTCTGTAGATGCCACTGGGTCTTCATGTTCTGGAGATGCAGATGCAACTGGTTCTTCATGTTCTGGAGATGCAGATGCCACTGGTTCTTCATGTTCTCGAGATGCAGATGCCACTGGTTCTTCACGTTCTACAGATGTAGATGCCACTGGTTCTTCATGTTCTGTAAATGTAGATGCCACTGGTTCTTGATGTTCTGCAGATGTAGATGCCACTGGTTCTTCATGTTCTGGAGATGCAGATGCTACTGGTTCTTCATGTTCTACAGATGTCGATGCCACTGGTTCATCATGTTCTGCAGATGTAGATGCCACTGGTTCTTCATGTTCTGGAGATGCAGATGCTACTGGTTCTTCATGTTCTACAGATGTCTATGCCACTGGTTCTTCATTTTCTGTAGATGTAGATGCCACTGGTTCTTCATGTTCTGTAGATGTAGATGCCACTGGTTCTTCACGTTCTATCGATGTAGATGCCACTGGTTCTTCATGTTCTGGAGATGCAGATGCCACTGGTTCTTCACATTCTGCAGATGTAGATGCCACTGGTTCTTCATGTTCTGTAGATGTAGATGCCACTGGTTCTTCATATTCTGGAGATGCAGATGCCACTGGTTCTTCATGTTCTGGTGATGCAGATGCCACTGGTTCTTCATGTTCTCGAGATGCAGATGCCACTGGTTCTTCACGTTCTACAGATGTAGATGCCACTGGTTCTTCATGTTCTGTAGATGTAGATGCCACTGGTTCTTCATGTCCTGCAGATGTAGATGCCACTGGTTCTTCATGTTCTGGAGATGCAGATCCCACTGGTTCTTCATGTTCTACAGATGTCGATGCCACTGGTTCATCATGTTCTACAGATGTAGATTCCACTGGTTCTTCATGTTCTGCAGATGTAGATGCCATTGGTTCTTCATGTTCTGTAGATGTAGATGCCACTGGTTCTTCATGGTCTGGAGATGCAGATGCCACTGGTTTTTCACGTTCTACAGATGTAGATGCCACTGGTTCTTCATGTTCTGCAGATGTAGATGCCACTGGTTCTTTATGTTCTGTAGATGTAGATGCCACTGGTTCTTCATGTTCTACAGATGTAGATGCCACTGGTTCTTCATGTTCTACAGATGTAGATGCCACTGGTTCATCATGTTCTACAGATGTAGATGCCACTGGTTCTTAATGTTCTGTAGATGTAGATCCCACTGGTTCTTCATGTTCTACAGATGTAGATGCCACTGGTTCTTCATGTTCTGCAGATGTAGATGCCACTGGTTCATCATGTTCTACAGATGTAGATGCCACTGGTTTTCATGTTCTGGAGATGTCACTGGTTCTTCATGTTCTGGAGATGTAGATGCCACTGGTTCTTCATGTTCAGGAGATGCAGATGCCACTGGTTCTTCCCGTTCTGGATATGGAAATGCCACTGGTTCTTCATGTTCTGCAGATGTAGATGCCACTGGTTCTTCATGTTCTGTAGATGTAGATGCTACTGGTTCTTCATGTTCTGCAGATGTAGATGCCACTGCTTCTTCACGTTCTACAGATGTAGATGTCACTGGTTCTTCATGTTCTGGAGATGCAGATGCCACTGGTTCTTCACGTTCTGGAGATGCAGATGCCACCGGTTCTTCATCTTCTACAGAGATAGATGCCACTGGTTCGTCATGTTCTGGAGATGTAGATGCCACTGGTTCGTCATGTTCTGCAGATGTAGATGCCACTGGTTCTTCATGTTGTGCAGATGTCGATGACACTGGTTCTTCATGTTCTGTAGATGAAGATGCCACTGGTTCTTCGCGTTCTACAGATGTAGATGCCACTGGTTCTTCATGTTCTGCAGATGTAGATACCACAGGTTCTTCATGCTTTGGAGATGCAGATGCCACTGGTTCTTCATGTTCTACAGATGTAGATGCCACTGGTTCTTCATGTTCTGTAGATGTAGATGCCACTGGTTCTTCATGTTCTGAAGATGTAGATGCCACTGGTTCTTCATGTTCTACAGATGTAGATGCCACTGGTTCTTCATGTTCTGTAGATGTAGATGCCACTGGTTCTTCATGTTCTGCAGATGTAGATGCCACTGGTTCTTCATACTCTGGAGATGCAGATGCCACTGGTTCTTCATGTTCTACAGATGTAGATGCCACGGGTTCTTCATGTTCTACAGATGTAGATGCCATTGGTTCTTCACGTTCTGCAGATGTAGATGCCACTGGTTCTTCATTTTCTGTAGATGTAGATGCCACTGGTTCTTCACGTTCTGTCGATGTAGATGCCACTGGTTCTTCACGTTCTGCAGATGTAGATGCCACTGGTTCTTCATTTTCTGTAGATGTAGATGCCACTGGTTCTTCACGTTCTATAGATGTAAATGCCACTGGTTCTTCATGTTCTACAG